CCTCCAAATGTTTATGCAAGAATTAGTGGCCCAAGTTTATGGAAGTATTTCTGCATTTCTGTCCCTGTTGCCAGGCCCTGTTCAAGCACAGGGTCCCAACAGCCCTGATGATGATTTCCTGATGGATTGTATCCACCTACAGTCAGTAAGAGCCAGCATTTCCTTAGAGGGAGAGGCGGCAGTGACTACCACCAGTTGCCATAAACCGGCTGGCAGCAGTTCAGAGGGAATGGAGGTGAGTGTGGAACCAACCAGACATTAAATAGCAGTATGTTTTTCCTCAGGATTCCTGGGTTCCTCACCACCCGGGAGGACTCTGCTCCACAGAATCCATGCCTTTCCTGAATACATATTTTCCTTTGGGAAGCAACCCGCGTGCCCGAGCTCCTGCTCCACCGCGGTGTCAGGGCAGCCTCGTGTGCACCGATGTTCCCTCAAGAGCTCCGGCCCGGATGCAGCCCGTTCTGCAGCTCCACCCGGGATGGCAAAAGCACTTCTGCTTTTCCAGCCTACCTGCAGCCGCAAAGCGCTCCCATGGCAGCCCGCACGTCTCCAGTGACAACACTTCTCCCTCATTATTTATTGCCCTTTGGGTTCAAAAATGGCTCGGAACAGCCTAGCAGCAGCTGGGAGACCTTTTGCAAACCTGCCTCCGTTATCTCAACACAGGTTAGGCAAAACAAAACAAAACCCAACCAAAGAGCAGCAACAGCAAAACATCGCCAGCCCCAGAGAGCAGGATTATAAGGACACGCTTTTCAAAGCGTTTAGGTACCTGTGTATGTGCCTCGGTACACATGCCTCTGAAAACACCTCCAGGTAATGAGCTGCATGTGCAAATGCCTTCTACAAACGGCTCTAAATTACCGCAGTCAAAAGCACATAGAAGGCTTGTAAAAAAGGCAGGATTAAAACCTGATTTTCTGCCCTTAAAAATGGGCAATCTTTTTTTCTTCCAGTTCCTGTCTACAGAATGGGACCTCACTGTAGGCATCTCACTCGCTGCATTTCTTTGAAACTTCTTAAACAAATGAAGCAAAATCTGAGAGACAGGAGGATGATCCTAATCTACCTACAGAGCTTCATTTATCTTGTGTTCTAAATGAGGCAGGGATTTTGTGTATTAAAAAGACAGTGAAAGACCACTGAGCTGAAGAGTACATGAAAATATGTACAAAAAGTTGAAATTAAAGATAAATGGGGTTTTATAACCTACCTATGCAAAACTTACTGCTACAGCACAGTTTTTAATTTATAATCACTTCATATTCTTAAGGAGACAACAAAAAAATTCACCCCAAATTTTTRTTTCCATAGAATAAAAATTCCACGTTGTAGAAAATAAATTTCCACAGGATCCTTCAATGCAGGCAGTATAAATTTCATAAAACCAGTAACAACTGTCCTTTACCTGAACCACTGCAGGAAGAAAGACTCTTTCCATTAGATTTCACCAAAATTTGCTGAGAGCACAAGAAATCTAATAAATCCCAGGTTAAACTCAGAGTTCTGGCTGAAAGCAGACACTGCAATCTATGAGCTCTCCTGTCCCTCTTACACTCCCTCTTTCCCTTTGTTTACTGTTTCTTGATTTTGAGTTCAAGCATTTTTCTCTTCAAGCTTTCCATCTCCCACCTGCCCTGATGCTACCTAAATCCTCCTAAACCCTCCCCAGCTTGCTATGCGCTTACCCTTATCCCATCATGTTTATAGCTTACAAATTTATAGCCAACTGATAAACACATATCAAAGTGTAAGAAAATTAAATTTCACTCTAAAATACACTGTATGCCCMAAATTAGGAGACCTGATACCAGAAATGGTATCTGTTCTTTATTTCCTCTTTGTCTTCTCTTTGTAAGCCAACATCTCCCAGGTAGGATTACATAGAAATCAGGTAGAATTGTGGGTTTTTTTTCAAGCAGATGTAATACATGAGAAACCACACAGATCTTGGGCCCTGAAATCTCACAAAAAGCT